TTCAAAATTTGCACTGGAATTTTACTGCGATTTATTATTTCTGATGTATAGAAGAAAATAATTCTAATTTTTAATATACAATATACATATATAAATGCAAACACTGAAGGAGCGTAAAAGGTCTCGCAATCGGCAAAGTGCTCTCGACATTGTCGCAAATCAATAGGATATAAAGCCTGTTAAACTGTGAAGAGAAAAGTAACTGAACAGTTGCCCGTATAAGGTTTACTTGTTGAATAATACCAAACACTCGATTTGTATGCTATTAGTAAAGAAAAGATCTGAGATCGCTCGACATTATTCTCTTTGGTGAGTCGTTACTTTCAGAAAATCGCTCGTAAAGATGATAATTCAGCATCTCCTCATCGGCCTTTTCTTATTATATATATATATATATATATTATGTACAAATACCTCTTTTCATATAGTCTTCATGATCAGTTAACTGAAATAAATAAAAAAAAACAAATTTTTAACACATATTTTAAACGTCAATGATATATATTATGTTACAAACACTATATGGAAATATCTCACACTCTATAAAACGCACATTTTCTATTTATAAAGAAGACATATCTTTTATAAAAAAATAAAATTTTATGGTCTATTCAATAAATGTACCTTTTTCGCAATAAAGTTATGTTTTTCAGTTGAGAAGAAAGGTATTTTAGATATTTTCTGATTATTTTTATTTATTACACATTTATGGTACAGTAAAAATTACTCTCATGTAAATTTACATCACTCAGATATTATTTCAAATAAATAATTTAAAAAAGATTTTTTTGTTACACAATTTTTTGTAAAATGCAAAATTATACAACGATTTTTTAAACATTAATAACTCTGGATAAAATGACTTTAGAATATTCGTCAAAAAATTCGTATATTAAAAAACTCTACAAAATTTATAGAAAAACCCTGCAAAATTGAGAGCTTTCAAAATTATTGTTCATACCAGGAAATTATTGATATACATGATTACTTTCGAAAACTATCTGGCCTTTTGAAAAATCGAATATGGCGGCTCCAATATAACCTATAAATGCATCTACATACGTGAGATAAGTCATAAACATTGTAACGTTTTTTTTATTTATTTAATTGAATTTAATGAAATTATTGAGATTTGTAACGTTAAATTTATGTTATTTATTGATTTTTACTTTAAATTTAGATTTTTTATGATTATAATTTTAAGACAATCAACTTTAGCTAGATTTATTTAATTATTATTAATTATGCCAATATGTCAAGTTATTTTATGGAAAATAACTAAACCAAAAAATAGTTAAATAGCCCGAAAAGTAATATTTATAAATCTAATTAGGAAAAACTAAACCAGCTCAGGAATTCCGTTGTTACTTGATAGTAACAATAGACCGCGGAGTGGGGGGATAAGGAGAAACACCATTAATGAAACAGAATTTAACAATAATAATATATAGTTTTTACTGTATTTTTGTTATTAATATTAATTTTATTATTTATTTTAAATAATAATTATAATAATAATAAAATTAATTTATTATTATTAATAATATTGATATTAACAATAAACAATAATATTATTATTATAAACTAAATTTATTATTAATATTTTTTTAATAATGAAAAGTTTTAAAATTAATTTTTTTTAATATTAATTTTTAAATAATAAACCATGTTTAAGAAGTTAAATAATTTTTTAAAAATAGAAATTGTAAATTTTTGTCGAGAAATATTATTCAATTTTATCAAATTGGTAATTTAATAAATAGAAATAAAATTTCAATAATTAATATTTTTTTAATAAATTGAGTTGTTTTTTCATTTTTTTAAAAAATTTAAATTCACCCGCCATTTAGGTTAGCAACCATGTGTCAACCAATGAGATCACTTGCAGCTCAAGAGGACACAAAACTTATTTCCCCTCAGTTGGTCGATTAGGTTAGTGGTTAGGGTCTAAGTTTCTGCGCGGTGAACCCGGGTTCAATCCCCAGTCCCTCCAAATTTATTTCCAAAAATTTCTCCGTTATTATTAGAGATTTAATAAAAGCAGAGTGACAGAAGCACAGGTGTAGAAATAAATAATTTTTTTTAATTGTACTGAATGAAATTCAATAGAAACTTTCTTTTTTAATTACATGGAAATTTGCATTAAAATCTTTAGAATACTTACCGGAAATAGGTTTAAAGAAACTTAATAAGCAAACTTCTTGTTAAATAACAATTCAATATTTCACAAACTTTTCTTTGCACTCTTTTAGAAAACTTACTATGATAACTTTTTGGAAGCTATCACGGATAAGTTAATAGCGGGGGACATATAGAGCTACAGGGAAGCTAACGGGAAACTATAACCGTCTTAATTTCCGAACTTAACACTGTTAGTTATCTGTTAGCTTCCTGCAAAATATGGTGCTATGTGGGCGTCTATGTGAATGTCGACAAAGTCGCCGCGTTGCACACTTTATTAATGTTTTACATTTTTAAATTTAGTTTTCACAAAATAAAAGAATAGAGGAAAAACACCACCTCACTGAACTGACACCAGGATGAGAATGAGAGTAAAAATGGCTGACGAGTCAAACTCGACAGCGTCGATAAACAACGCCCTCTTTTCTCAATGTCATTCAGATTAATTAATTTCAATATAGTATTTGATCCACGATTAATAACCGATGTGCGACTGTCGGTAACGTAAATTCCTACACTATCCGATGTTAATTGATTTATGCGAGAAGTCCATTAGAAATTGACTACCAGTATTGATTTGACAGATCGTCAACAAAACAGCAAAATGCCGCGTTACAACATATATGAATAAAAATAAATCTGGTGAAGGAAACACCTCTGTATTAACGTCAAAATTAACACTGGGTAATAAATTTTGCTTACCATAAATAAAAACGATAAATTTCTAAAACTCAAAATGACAGATTCAATATGGCTGACGAAAAGTCTTAAAATTCATCGAATTTGGTTAAAACTTGTTACTCGGGGGATTTAAACGTCGAATGATGTCAATTTTTTTAAATTCAAAATGGCGGATCCCACATGGCGGATGAAAATTCTTAAAATCCATCAGATTCGGTTAAAACTTGTTGTTGAATTCATTTTCAAAAACCATGAAAACACCAAAATAATTTATAGGTTATATTGGAGCCGCCATATTGTATTTTTTAAAAGACCAGATAGTTTTCGAAGGTACTTACGTATACTAATAATTTCCGGGTATAAACAATAATTTTTAAAGCTCTCAATTTTACAGGAAAGCGTGTTGGCGCGAAAGGTTTTATATATATTTTAAAATGTAAATTATACACTGTAAATAATAGAATTATTGGATTTTAGGAAATATTTAGTCGTCTGCTGGGTTGAAATAAATTTTATAACAAAACAATAAAAAAGATGGTTTATGAAAATATTAAAAAAAAAAAGATTTTTCACATTTTTTTCGTAAAAAATAATAATTTACGATTAACAGAAAATTTAATCATTAAATAGATTTTAAATAATATTTAATTTTCATGTGATCTTATACACTTTGAGAAAATGCAACTGTTGGAAGTGCAAGGTGCACGCAGTCTCAACAGTTTCCACCGTGCGCCATGCATAATAGAGGTTAGCCGCAGGATGGTAAATCACAAGACGCCATGCGGGCGTAGTTATATACATGATGGAAGATTAGTCTGGCATTGTGCAAGCACGGAGGTGGCACGCGATGATTTATCATATACGAAAACATGGAGTCGAGTGACTTTCATCAATCGCTACCATTTGACTACTAAATATCTTTGTTTTCAAAATAAATTCTATTATAATACACTGAGAGAAAAGATTAGTTAAGGTTACCAGTTTTAAGATTTTTTTTTAGTTAGTAAACTATACTGCTACTAATTTATTAGTTGTGGTTACTATTTTTATTGGTTGGCCTAACTATTAGTTGGTTTAAATAATTAATTGGTTGGAATAACTATTTAATTAGTTACGAAATAGTTACGCTGACTAACTAAATGGTAACAGTAACAAATATAAATTAGCAACGATACTCTTACTAACGAAATGATAATCACAACCAATCGTTTTTCTCAGTGTATATTTTTGCTAACTTATGTTAGCTGGATATTGTTAGCTATGGTAGCTAAATGTTATTCCCTGTGCCAACTAATAGTTTAGCTAAAATAACTAACAACCAACTAAAGTTATTAGCTATGGTATTAAATTTTGTTCGCTATTATTAGCTAGCTGTAATGAAAATCATCTAGCTCGCTACATTTTGTTCACTAATTTAAATTAGTGAAAATTTCTACTAATTTTTAGTCATTTTTCACTAAAACTTTATTTTAAAAAAATATTAATAAACTAATATTTATAAATATTGTAACTTTATTATTATTAATTACTAATTTAAAAAAAATTCTATTATATTAACTTTAAAGTAAAATTTTAAATATAATTACAAAGATATATTCTATTCCTTCACATGAAACTTACAATTAGACATATGTATATACACTGATAATTTTATATTTTATTTCAACTGAACAATTTATTTTGATGTCAAATTATTTTCCTTTCAGTTGATAAGAAACTGAAAATTAGTTTGTTGTTTTTTTGATATTATTATGTTGAAGAGAAAATACAAAAACAAAATAATTAAAATAATCTCCTTTTCTTTTATCAAATGAATATAAATACTGAAACAAAACTCGACTCTTTACTATTTACAATTTGTATCGATTCAGAGTTGACGATTAAAAAATGTATTCTTCAAAAAGTGTATACTTATTGTTATTCTGTTTGATTTTAAGTATTTTCTTTACTACAATATGTGACGGGTCAATAAATTAATTAATAACAATTTATTAATTTATTATTAAAAAGATTATTATTTATTTAAACGAGTTATTGTTTACACTTAATCCGTAGACTTAAGTATAAGACCCTGCTCGTAAGAGGGTGTAGTTATAACTAACCATAGACGCTGGCCCATTCCTTGGGGTACCCATCGGTCCAAGGAATGTGTCCTTGAAAAATAGGGGATACAAGAAAATAACTAAAAATAGTTTTGGAGGATGCGTTACACCCCCATTTCTAGAATGAACTTAATCCTTTAAGTTCTTATCTTAACCCTCTTTGATGAAATTAACGTTTTGTCGTTGACTTCGTTATACGACAATGTATTAGCACTTTCCCTAGGTGCAGTAGCTACCGGAGTATAATGCACTGTAGGAGTCGCAGTAACTGTCGTGGAAACACAGAACAATTTTATACATAAATTCCCAGGCATTAGCTTTCTAACCCAATTAAAAAACCCAATTTTATATAAACTGTAAATACTTATTATTCCTAATGACATATATCCTAAATAACTAAGTATATCGGTGCTCGTCTCTATCCAAGTTCGCGTGCGTCGACTAGATTTAATTGCCTGCAACGAGCTTTCCATAACATTCAAACTCTGTCTTAATTCTTTAAAATTTTCATGTCGTAGAGATTCTTGAATTAATGGCAGTTGATGACTCAATACATTTACATCGTCAGAATTTAATTTATAGGTTACATTTTTACTAAAATATATGTCGCCGTTTCTTATTTTTGATTTTCGCAATTTTAGGATAGATTTTGGAGTTTGAATTGTACAGTCTTCGTCGCTAAAAAGTAAACTTGCAGCTTTGAGTTGAATTGTTTGTGTTTGTGTTCCACACCATACACTGAGTTCGAAAGGTGTCTCGGGAACCAGAATATACTTATTAGGATCCTTTAAAGGAATAAATACAAGTTCTAAAATTCTAAAAACAGAGAATTGACATGTTTGTTCGTTAACATTTTTGTTTTGACGCCGAATGATGTTTGTTTCACAGGTCTGAGTTTCACTGATAAGATACGTAGGCTGAGTTCTTTTACAAATGCGAATTTCGTCGATTTCTTTACATAACTTTAAGGTATTAATATCCGAAGGTACATACATATTTTTTTCAAAGTTTGCTAAAACAACTTCGTGAGAAGGAATCGGTGCAATAAAACTGTTTCCGCGAGGCATAGGAATAGGAATCAAATGTAAAGTTTGCAAATCTTCGTATTCTAATAAAGGAACTTTTACTATGTACACTAGGGTCTTATTGATGATGCTAATTGTTATTTCCGAAATATCAATAATTTGTTGGTAATTTTCACCAGCTAGTTGTATGGGGTATTTTTGATTATTTTTTTCTTCTATGTGTCGTAATTCCTGTATTAAAATCGCTGGTGTTAAAATCTGAGGATGGACAATTCCGTGTTTACCGTCGTTTATTGCATCGATTATTAAATTTAAATCTTCACCATATTCGGCTACGGCAATTTCCGTACCAGATATAAGATTAGTTATTACAATTTCTTTGCTGTTTTGGTTCGTCGAATTGATTAATTGATTTAATTGTTTCATTCGAGTTTGAGTTTCTGCATTAAGTGTCATTAGGTCATGTGAGGCACTATTCAAAAGGGTTTTGATTATTCTAGTTTGGTTACCTATCGATTGGGCCATAAAGTTACTATCTTTGTATATAGAGTCAAATTCACTATTGATAATTTGCAAATCCTGATCATCTAATGTGCCGAACAAGGTTTTAGAAATAGATCCCATAAAATTGAAGAATCCTCTACGAACTCGAGACTGTCCTAATATGTGGTGTAGTAAAGTTCTTGAAGCTTCTAATCGGTTGAGTCGGTTTCTGAGTATTGTTAATTCATATTTCTGTGAACAGTTATTACATAAAGTGGATGCCTGCGAATATAATTTTACAATTTGCGAAAGTCGCATGTCAAAATTTGTGGTGTGTATTTTCAAAATTAATTTCCAAGTTTCATGATACAATTTTGTTATCCCTAAATTTTCAGCGTAGACAGTAGTCCCCTCTAGGTCCTTTAGATGAACATCTGCTACTATCCCAGTTATTAATGCAGCCCACAGTATTATCCTCATGGTTTCTGTAATTAGGTATAGTATGGTTTTAATCTATTAGAATGAATTAATTGTCTACCATTGTTAATCAATATTTCATAATTGTTATTGTTCTTAACACTAATAACAGTGGCAGGTCCTTTCCAATCAGCACACAATTTATTGGACTTAACATTTTCAACTAATACTAAATCACCTACTTCGAACAATTTTTGGGGTATGACAATCTTCGCATCTTGTAACCGTTTGTTCTTTTCCTTTGAACTTTGAATTTTCCTCTTAGCTTCTCCTATATATTTTTCATGTCTTTCTTTCCAGAGTCGAATTAATTCTGAATATTTAAGACAAGGGGTTGTGGCGAGTAAAGATGGTAAATTTGCGTCATGACCAAAAGTTAGATTGAAAGGGGTGAATCCTGTTCCTTCGTGAATCATAGTATTGTAAGCCATACATATGAATTTTAAAGTATTGTCCCACTCAATCATATTGTCAGCCATGTTGGTTCTAATCAAGTCCTTTATGGTTCCATGTGCTCTCTCCAATGCGCCATTACTTTGTGGGTGAAAAGTAGTAGTTTTGACATGTTTAATGCGGAATAAATTTTCAAAATTTTGTACTAGCTCTGACACAAAATTTTGACCTTGATCGGTTAGAATATGTTTAGGAGAACCGAAAATATAAATATAGTGATCAAAAAGTGCTTCAATAATTGATTCTGAGGTAACATTTTTTAATGGTATCAAAATTAAATATTTCGTCAACATGTCCTGTATTGACAAAATATATTCATTTCCGCGAGCAGTGACAACAAGAGGTCCAAAGATATCCATAGCTATTTTGTCGTTGGGGTTAGTCGGTGTATCAGGAATGATTGCTTCCGCTTTTGGCCTGATTCGTTGCAATTTATTAATTTGACATACGTGGCATTTCTTAATATAGTCAATAATTTCTAATTCCATATTATGCCAACTTCCCAGTTCTCGTGCACGTGCGATGGACTTATTCTCTCCAAAATGTTGAGCCATTACAGACCCGTGACACTCTTCGATAATTTGTCGACGTTCTTCTTGGGTTAACTCTGTTGTTGCGTTGAAACATGTGTGGATTTTCAAGGTTGGATATTTGTGACTTATAAAATTTATAAGGATTTTCAGCTTAATTCTTTCTGTTGAGATTATCGTTGGATCATCGAAATGTAAGCGTAATACGACCAATTTTTTTTCTATGGTTTCCTGTGTGATTTTATCTAATATTTGTAACCACACTTTTTCATCATATTCCGGTAATATTACGAAATTACCGTCTGTTATCGTTCGCTGTTTTGAGATTCTTCTCCAAAGTTTACCTGGTGCATTTGGTTTTTCAATTTCACGCGTTTCAGTACGTTGAGGGAACCATTTGTAATAATCTTTGATAAGTTGTTCATTTCTTAATTCTCGATCTTCTTGAGTGATTTCCTCTTCTTCATCTTCTGTATCAAATCTTAAAGGTTCAAAAGGACTAATATTGTCAGCTCTATTTGGAACACTCATGCGAGGTTCGGGCGTTTGTAAATCTCGTTTCGATGTCTCCTCTATGGTCTCTATATCTGGAAGTTCTGCTTCTAAATCGAATAAGGGACAAGTATCTGTGGCTTGACTTGTATTACTCTCAATGGGAAATACGCGCGATAATGCATCTGCAGCTGTATTTTCCGAGCCCTTTTTATATTCTACCTCGTAATCGTAATCTTCCATTCTAAGTCTCCAACGCATTAATCGGGAACAAGGGTCATTCATCTTAAACAAAAATGTAAGAGCTTGATGGTCGGTTAAAATTTTAAACTTCCGTCCTAACAAATACTGTCGTAATCGTTTTACTGCCCAAACAATAGCTAATAACTCTTTTTCTGTGGTGGTATAATTTAACTCTGGTTTGTTTAAAGTTCTTGAAATATAACAACAAGGGTGTCCATCTTGAGACAGAATTGCTCCTAGACCTACGTTTGAGGCGTCTGTCGTCAATGTAAATTCTTTTCCGTAATCAGGATAGCGCAACACCGGTGCTGTACATAAAGCATTCTTTAAATCTTCAAATGATTCTTGACATTCCGTAGTCCAAATGAATTCATTAGAAGCTTTTGTCAATTCGGTCAAGTGTTTTGCTCTAGTGGAATAATTTTCGATGAATTTCCGATAATATCCAGACAACCCTAGAAAAGATTTTACTTCTTTAACGGACATTGGTTGTTTGAATTCCGAAACTGCTGCCAATTTTGCGGGGTTGGGTTTAACTCCTTCCTCGGTAATAACGTGACCTAGATACTCCAACTCTGGCCGTAGATATTCACATTTGTCGGGTTGAAGCTTCAGTCCAGTTTGTCTGAGTCGTTCGAAAAGTATCGTTAAGTTTTCATTGTGTTCTTCGATGGTTGAGCCAAAGACGACGATATCATCGAGATAAACAAAACAAATTTTTCCAATCAGACCTATCAAAGCCTGATCCATCATTCGCTGGAAGGTCGCAGGTGCGTTGCGGAGTCCGAAGGGCATGCGTTCGAACTCAAAGTGTCCCTCGGGGGTTGAAAAAGCTGTATATTTTTTTGATGTCTCTTCCATGGGAATTTGATGAAATCCGTTACTCAAATCAAATGCTGAAAAGAATTTCGCCTTGCCCAAGCTTTGTAAAATATCTTCAATCAAGGGCAGGGGATAAGCATCTTGATCAGTGAGTTCGTTTATTTTTCGAAAATCTATAACAATACGCCATTTCCTTATGCCCGACGCGTCTAACTTTTTCGGTATGACCCAAAGAGGTGAATTAAATGGAGAATTTGAATGTCGAATAATTTTCCTCTTCAACATGTCTAAAGTTTGTTTATTTACTTCCTCCCGATGACATTCCGGTGGCCTGTATGATTTGTTGTTAACAATTTTATCATCTTTTAAAACAATCGTATGTGAGGTTAATTCACTACTAGGCAAAGGGTCGTCAGCGAATGCAAATATATCATGATAAGACTGTATAATTTTTTCAATATTTTTCCGAAGTTTTGGTTCAATGTGATCAAGCCTAGAATTATTTGCAAGGAGTTTCAATCGAGCTGTTAATTCTTTTTCCGAAATGTAATGAACTTTTTGTTCCTGAGGTACGACTTTGAGAGGAACGTAAGGAAGTTCTTTTGTTGTAATTAATTTCGGTTGTGGTGAGTCATTGACTAGGGGTACAGTAATTTTATAATCAACAACACGGAAAATAGAATCAGGCACGTAAGGGTTATCTATAAATCCTACGTGACCACGTGATTGACGAACCGGTAATTGGATTAATTTCACCTGATTTGGGGGAATTAAGATCCCATCGTCAATTAATTTGTGAGATTTATTATTAAGCGTTAAATCGTTATTAGAGAGATTGTAACTATAGTTTTGCAAAAAACATAGACCCATAATTCCATCTTCCGGCATAGGAAAATCATCCGGGACTACGTTAAAAACATGATCGATTCCAAGGTATTGAAATTGAAATTTAAAAGCAGAAGTATGTGTTTCATTTCCCATTTTAAATGGTTTCACTTGTGATTCTTGTTTGGCGTCATGGGGTACAAAAGATTGTTTTAAAAGATTAATTGATGAACCTGAGTCGACTAAGAGTCGTAAATCTCGTTGAAATCCTGATGGTCGTAAGTTGACAGATTGGAGTCTTCCTGATACGTATGAGATTCGGTCTGGAGATCTTCTTCGAGGCTGTCTGTCTCTAGTGTCTCTTCTTGAGTCATGTGTATTCTTGAAGGTGGTTTTCCCGGTCTCGTTCCTGTCGGAAAATTTTGAGGCCTTCCATTTTTTAAAAAACATTGTGCTTCGGTATGGCCCGGTTTTTTACAAACATTGCATTGCATTTGCATTCTTCTTTCAAGAGAAACGTTTTGATTCGGTGGTTGATTTTGTTTATTCGTTACAGGGTTTTGAGAAACATTTCGCGAGGGTATCACGTTATTTTGAAAGGGTCTCGAATTTGAGTACATTTTAAATCTAGCTTTTTCACGGAGCCAAATTTCTGCCTCTAAAGCCTCTTCCTGCGCGTCATTAATGAATTTCGGTTTTTGAGCCCTAACTTGGTTAGCGATGTCATCTTTAAGGTTCATCATATAATTTTTTATCGCAGTTTCTTCCTCAATTTTCAAAGCAACTTTTACCGCTTCCGAAGTTTTATGCTTCTTTTGTACGGCATAGTAAAGTTCGTTTAAACATTTACCAAAACGTTGATTGAAAGCTTGCACACTATCGGTACCTTGTCTGCATGATTCGAGTTTTGCCCGACAAAGTTCTACTGAAGTACCGGATCCTAAATGTACTCGAAGAGTTTTAAATAAATCTTCATAACTATTTATGGCAATGTGTCTAATTGATCGTTTAGCGTGATCTATAACCTTTTCAGTCATAATAAAATCGAGCAAATATTCTGGTTGAGAGCAACGTGAACGAGCGCGTTTCACGGATCTAATGAACTCTTCGGTACCAACGTCATCTCGTCCATTAAGTGTTTCTACTGTACGAACTATTTCCTTAGCAGGCAGGAGGGCGAAGGCGTCCGACCTATGCGTTCGCGCAACGTGGTTTTCTATACCGAAACCGGTATTGTTTGACGGAGCGGGAAAATTTGTGTGAACGTCCCTGTGTCCTTCCATTGCGTCATACTGTGCATAGGGATCGATGAGGGGCCGACTGTTACTCGGATGTGCTGAGGAATTTCTAAATGTTTCCGTTTCATTGTCAAAATTCTTAGAATCTAAAAACTCAACATGTTGCTCAGTTTTGGATCCCGATGCCGCGTGATCTTTGTTCGAAGGGACCTTTTCCGAATTTTTTCCGTCACTCGAATAATCATCCGTGTATTCAACGCTACTATCATCGTCTTCGGTTACTAATCGTTTTCCTTTTCGCGCGAGTTCTTTAATTTCACCAACCCTCTTTAAATTCTCTTTATTTAATTGGTTTACTCCGATTTGCAAACTACCTTGATTTTTTTCAATTAAGGTTAATCTATCAAGAATTTGGGAGAGAGTTGCCGTTATTTGTGTTAGAGAATCAGTTGATTCGTTATTCGATAATTCTCCGGTTTCAACCATTTTGAAAAGAAAATGTAATTTTTTCGTTTAAATTCAATTATAAAATTAAAATTAAAATAATTTTTGTTTCGGTAAATATTATAAATAAACGAGATATTATAAAATTTATAAAATTTACCTATACATTTATATATGTACGATAAAAAGCAATAATTTCAATTTTCTGTTAACAAAAAATAATATGACAATTATATCGCAGTTGAAAGAATGTAACTTACTAATTATATTCCTATACAATTTTCGAGATTCCTTCGGCCAAGCAGCTTCCGGTATTGAAACAGCTGGAGATACGTCACTCGTGAGGGTAGTACTCCCGCGTTGCCAACTTGGTTGGGTGGCGTCTCCCCTTCTCTAGGACTTATACCCACGGAATCACTATCGAACTTACTTGATTCGGCCCGAGTACGTGATTTCCGGTAATTTCCAGTGAAAATATCACCGTATAAAACGTCACAAAAACACACAAAAAAAAATTTTTTTTCACAATTTTAACTTATTATTTGTGCAAAGCAGGTTCACACGAGGATAGTCGAGTTTGATCGTAATCGTTTCAAACTATCCTGGCAGGATCGCCATTAATGTGACGGGTCAATAAATTAATTAATAACAATTTATTAATTTATTATTAAAAAGATTATTATTTATTTAAACGAGTTATTGTTTACACTTAATCCGTAGACTTAAGTATAAGACCCTGCTCGTAAGAGGGTGTAGTTATAACTAACCATAGACGCTGGCCCATTCCTTGGGGTACCCATCGGTCCAAGGAATGTGTCCTTGAAAAATAGGGGATACAAGAAAATAACTAAAAATAGTTTTGGAGGATGCGTTACAAATAAATGCCAAATGCAAAAAGAAAGGTGAATCATGTAATACCAATAAAGATTGCTGCAATGATTGGTGTTCCAGAAGAAGAAGCGTATGCTTTGATTAAACATAAAGGTAACAAATAATTTTTACTAAATTACAAAGTTCTATGACTTATAATACTTTGAAACAAGAAAATTATAAATTAAGACCTTTTTCAAATATGTATATTTTTTATTTTCATGAATTAGGATTCTGTATTTATTATGAATAAGAAACTAGAAAGAAATTTAAGATTTTACAATTATTAAACCAGCCATAAAATTTTCATTATAAAAAACTTTTTGCGAAATGTTTTTAGCATTTCCAAATATGTAAAAATAAAAAAAAAATTCATATCCAAAATTAAGAAAAATTAATTTGTTTAAAAAACAATATCACGTGGAATCGTCCATATATTTATATAGAAATTTAAAACCTAAATACATAAATCTTATTAAATATGTTAGAAACAATAAATCATATTTCTGAAATTTTTTACAGATTTGAAGATGAAACATATAATATGACGAAAAGGCAAAACATTTAAAAAAAAAAATGTGATTCTTATCATGCTTTTTAGGTCATTTAAAATTATTACTATCATCAATCATTAAGAACTAAAAATAAAATGCAATAATCAAAATGAAAATATATTTTTTTATTCAATTTCCTCATGCAAGTCACATAAATATTTGTTTAATACTAAGATTAGATCGAATCTATCTCTTCTTAATATTTATTTTGAAAAAGAAAAAATTTATTATAGTTTTTAAATTTTAAATAAAAAAAACAGGTTAATTTTTAAATTTAAGTTTCATAATTGTTAATCTTAAATATTTTTTAAAAAACTTAATATTTCATGTAATGTTTAAACGTCTTAAGGGTTGGTGAATGTTTTTTTTTTAATTAAAGCTGAGAGACTGGAGTAACTTTTCTGTAATGATAAACTTTTAATTAATGCAAAAATGACGGAAGATAATCAACAAAGTGTAAAAAGTTTTTCGTTACCCACTGGTCTCCCCTACTCTATTTTGTAATTACAGTAGAGTATTATTCCACAATCAGTTTCTTCCGTTTTCACTGATGATCGATACTTTAATTTGAAAATTGATTTTTCATGATTGATCCACGATTTATATATTGAAGACAGTAGTATCGTGCTTAGGCAAATTTCACAGTATTGTGCACAATCATAAAACAAGAAGAAAGTCCTCGTCGAAAATGAATGTCGAACAATCAATCGTTTAGCGCACTTTTGTTGAATGATTAACATCAAGAATTGATCGTTTGACATTTATTTTCAACGCGGCGAGCTTTCTCGTGTGTCCCGTGTGAAATGATTACCCGCGCACGCATTGAGAATATATATATATATATATTTTTTTTGCATGCAGTATTTTGAAATTCTCTTCAAGATACACTTTTACTTTCTCTAAACTTCTGCGATTTGCTCATATAATACCATCGATATGAGCTGCTGTGAATACCTAATGCTTTAAGAGTGACGAGATATAAATTTTGTCAATGTCGAAAAGCTCATTTAAGAGAAAAATTTATATCTGATTTCTATAAAGACTCCTCCGCTTTTAAAAAAAAAGAAAAAGTATATAGAATATATAAAATATATATAGAAATGATTTATATATAAAAAAACAAAATTTCACAATTAACTTTAACATTGATATTTCAAATTTAAGTCAATCTTATTCACTTCTAATTTCAAAATTTTAAAAACAGATTTTATACAAAAATTAATTGAATTTGATTTAATTTATTATTGATTTTATTCTAAATTTAAATTATTATATTTTCAAGACAATCAACGTTATATACACTTTTTAATTATTAATTTTGCCAAGACGCCAAGTTATCTTATAGAAAATAACTAAACCTAAAATAATAGTTAAATAACCCGACAAGTGAATTTTATAATTCTAATTAGGAAAAACTAAAACCAGCTCAGGAATTCCATTGTTACTTTACAGCAGCAATAGACCGCGGTGAGGGGGGATAAGGATAAACACCATTAATTAGACAAAATTTATAACAATAACACTATTTATTAATATTCACTTTAAATTTTAGAAAAAGTTAAATAATTGGCACAAGGCAGAAAGACAAGATTTATATTTTATTTATTCAATTATACTTTAATAATAATGAGATCGATTCTGAAGGAAACGACTCCTAATTAATTTATTGGAACTCACCGTCTATTTGACGACGAAGGCTAGTCTCATTTTTATAATTTTAAATTTTAATTATTTTGCACGAAAAAGAATAGAACACAATTTGACTCTACGAACACCAGGATATGAGACTGAGAGTAAAATGGCTGACAAGTCAAATTCGAAAGCGTCGCTAAACAGCGGCCTCTCTTCTCGGTGACATTGAGATCAATTAATATTAAAAAATATAATATCCGCGACCAATAATAATCGATAGTCGTCGGTAACGCAGATCCCTACACTATCCGATGTTAAATTGATTGATGCGAGAAGTCCATGGAAAATTGACTGCTAGTATTGATTTGACAGATCGTCAACAAAACAACAATTTCGCCTTCTTGGTGTTCTTGAATATTCGGGACTCTCATCCAAATATATACACCAGGAAGCTCTTCCCTTGATGACTTCTAATTTTAATGATAGATAGTGATGTCCTCAACGTGACCCAGCGAGAATCCTCAATACTTCGCGAGAGTTTTCATAACAAAACGAAAGGACAAATCAGAATCGAATTTATTTATTAGATGTCGACTATTAATCTGCTGACTTTGGCAAGTTGGCTTGTTAATACGTGAATTTATTATTTAAACAAAAATGAAGTGAGTATTTAAAGAAAACAATTTTTATAATTTATTACATTTCACAGCCATTATGGCTGGATTCCCACCCTGGTGTCGTTAATTTACAAAATTTATTATTTTTAAGTTATTTGTACGCGACAAAAATTCCGCGTTACAGTATATAAGGTGCTGATAGCAAAAATGGGTTAAATTTTTTTTTTATTTAATCTAGTTAATAGTAAAGACATTTATACTGTTTTGCAGTAATTTTAGATTTAAAATATTTATTTAAATAATAATTGTAAAAGAAAAGTCATCAACATCTCTTGCAAATAGATAAATTAATCAAAATGATTTGCAACAAAAATGAGTTAAAATTTTTTCTGTGGCTATAATAATACTTTTTTCAAGTGCAATAAAACCGAATTCATTATTTTTTATTCATAGAGTGAAATAAAAATGTTAAATAGCTTTTTTTTCATTTGCAATGAAAAAGCAGTGAAAATTATTCAGTGATAATAATATCGAAAGTGAAATGTAATTTTGTTGTTTGAAAACGTAGTTATATATATAGTATATGGAAAGGAAGCGTCGCGGGTCTTTAAACGATTGGTAACTACCAGACAAACCGCACTACTGTAAATGGTAGCAGTTTGCAATCATCATAATTCTCGAGGTTGGTCTTCCGCCTGTTATATACAAGGTTCCTTCCAGCGACCACGACAAGAACCGCAGAACCGTTTTGTTCCTTATTACATGGTCTCTTTTGCCTTTCTTTCCCTTTTCTATTTCCGAAAATATAATCTCCTGCTTATAAGAAATGCAGTAGTTCCCACCGAGTGACAGTATATATATATATGCTTTATCTTCATATATACCAACGACAAAATATTATTTCCCACCTTTAAAGAATATATAAAAAAAAAATTGTTCTTGATTACCAACATAATTTTTGACTAATCATACTTTTTATTTTTTCCATTATTTAGAGATTGAAAAATTAGATATTTTTTTGCGTGTATATTAAATTAAAAAATTTCTAATTAATAAAGAATGAAAAAAATTCTCCAAAAGATATATGCAAGTGACTTGAATAATTAATTTGACTTTGAAATACTTGTGAGAATTGCTTTAAGGATTTACAAGAAGGTGGTGCGGATGTCGGAGGACACATGTATTCCTGGTGGTCCTCGGACCTTTGTGGACAGGCCATTAGGAAACAAGGACGGCACCAGCATCACCGAACAATGCAATTTGTAGCCACAAGGTGGTCCTGGTTCCACAGTATATATACTTCTATTATATTTGGTCGATAAAATTACAAAATGAAGATCCCGATCCTCGTGCTCTTTTCGATACTTCTCTAAGTATCGAATCGATAAATTTGCCAACAAAAATTTCTTTTTTTTTTCTTTGCTTGACCGTTTAAAGTTACAAGAACCTCTTTGGCTACCAAACAAGGAGCATCGTTGCATTTTTCTTATTTTCACCAGAAGCCATGGAATTTATGAAAAATTCTTTCGCAGCCCAACTATACTCGAAGGGAATTCCTTTTTGTTGACCTTGAAATCGAGATGGAGTCTTCCGAATCGTTGAATTTCACCTGCACCTCGATTATTTTTTCCATTGGGAGATCTCTATGGGAATTGCAAATTATTCCGAGTCCCTATGCCTGATTCTACTGCTGCTGCTGCTGTCGTGTAACAATTCAAGTTGCGCGTTTATATGCTACCGTGAATTCCGCGCGACTTAAGCTACGTCATTGATCAAAATCTCCAAGATCTTTATTACATTATTACGTGGCGCGCATTATCTTCAATCCTGATTATATTCTCTAACGTGCTAATTTATTCACAGCAAACATTTAATTAAGAAAATTCCAAGTTTTAATCTAGAATGTTTCCCTCGTCGTTTATTAAAATTAATGAGTGGTTTCTTATCAGAATTTATGTGAATTTCAAAAAGCAGATGGTAGTCGATGTAATGAGTTAATTATCTCTCTTTTTTTCCTTAGTATACGATACTCTAATAGTGAAAATATTTAGAAAATAATTTTG